ATATGTAGGTTGCCCTTGGTCCTGAGCTGTGCAGGGCAACTTTTGAGAGTGATCGAGTAAACAACATGGCCGACAGGCAGCCATCTTGGATTTTGATAGTGAAAGTTTGTTTTCGCTATTTCTCAAGAAGTACCACAGGAATCTTTCTCAAATTTTATATGTAGGTTTCCCTTAGTCCTTAGCTGTTAAGGGCAACTTTTGAGACTGATCGGATAAACAACATGGCCGACAGGCAGCCATCTTGGATTTTGATATTGAAAGTTTGTTATCGCTATTTCTCAAGAAGTACCAGAGGGATCTCTCTCAAATTTTATATGTAGGTTCCCCTTGGTCCTTAGCTGTGCAGGGCAACTTTTGAGACTGATCGAATAAACAACATGGCCGACATGCAGCCATCTTGGATTTTGATAGTGAAAGTTTGTTATCGCTATTTCTCAAGAAGTACCAGAGGGATCTCTCTCAAATTTTATATGTAGGTTCCCCTTGGTCCTTAGCTGTGCAGGGCAACTTTTGAGACTGATCGAATAAACAACATGGCCGACATGCAGCCATCTTGGATTTTGATAGTGAAAGTTTGTTATCGCTATTTCTCGGGAAGTACGGGAGGGATCTTTCTCAAATTTTAAATGTAGGTTCCCCTTGATCCCTCGTTGTGTATGTTATATTTTGAGACTGATCATAAAAACAAAATGGATTAAAAGAAGAACTAAACAGATCTTTCACATATTGCAATGATCGATTCTATTTTACTGTACTAGTAAATATGTGAAATGACAAACTCACTTTGAAGGTTGGCTTTCATACACATCAGTATTAAGTTTAGATTAAAAGTTACCTCAAGGTGCATTTACTGTTAACATGACTCGAACAAACAGATTAGAGGAAAGAAGAGAAAAGATCGAACTGACAAAGAACTAATGAAGATGGTACAAAGGTGGGCGCCAAGATCCCTCTGGGATCTCTTGTTTTGTTGATTGCATCTGTTCTCTTCAGATGAGTCAAATGAAACTTGAACATTTTATTTTTGTGTCGCCTGCAACGCGAGGCGTCATATTGGTATTACTTTGTCGACGCCGTCAGTTGCGTCGTCCGAAACAAGGTTTCCATGTGATATCTTGAGTTGCCTTGAGTTGATTGAACTCAAACTTGGTACACATATTGCACACCAATTTAGTTCGAACGAGTTCGCATTTCAGAAGTTTACATGCATTTTTAATGGAGTAATGCTCCTTTTATTGCCAAATAAGGGCATTGTGTAGTAAATACAAGAACTTTTTAATTTTTAGCTCACCTGGTCCAAAGGACCATGGTGAGCTTACGTCCGGCGTCCGTCCGTCTGTCCGTCCGTCCGTCCGTCCGTCCGTCCGTCCGTCCGTCCGTCCGTCCGTCCGTCAACTTTTCCTTTAAAACGCTACTTGTCCTAAACGGCCAAGTGGTTTTTGACTAAATTTGGTCTGGAGCATCCTTAGGCCAAGGGGACTCAATTTTGTATAAACGGTGGGTGTGGCCCCCCTGGGGGCTGAAGGGCGGGGCCCGATAGGGGAAATATAGCAAATTCTTTAAAATCCTTCTTCTGCCTTAGGAATGAAAGGATTTATTCCATATTTGGTCTGGAGCATCCATGGGGGAAGGGGAACAAATTTGTATAAATGATGGGTCTGGCCCCCCAGGGGCCTGAGGGGCGGGGCCCAATAGGGGAAACATAGCAAATTATTCTTTAAAACCCTTCTTCTTCTGTAGGAATGAAAAGATTTGGTCCATATTTGGTGTGGAGCATCTTTGGGTAAAGGGGACTCAATTTGTATAAACAGTAGGTGTAGCCCCCCTGGGACCTGAGGGGTGGGGCCGGATAGGGGAAATATAGCATATTATTTAAAATCCTTCTTGTTCTGTAGGAATGAAAGGATTTGGTCCATATTTGGTCTGAAGCATCCTTGGGTGAATGGGAACCAATTTTGTATAAACAGTGGGTGTGGCCCCCCTGGGACCTGAGGGTCGGGGCCCAATAGGGGAAATAGAGGTAAAACCTTTAAAATCCTTATTCTACCATAGGGATTAAGGGATTTTATCCTAGTTTAGTCTGGAGCATCCCTGTGCCAAGGGAACTCAATTTTGTATAAGCAGTGGGTGTGGTCTCCTAGAGGGCAGAAGGACAGGGCCCAATAGGAGAAATAGAGGTAAAATCTTTAAAATCCTTCTTCGACCATTGGGATTAAGGGATTGTATCCTTATTTAGTCTGGAGCATCCTTGGGCCAAGGGGTCTCAATTTTATATAATTGGTGGGTATGACCCCCCTAGGGGCATAGGGGTGGGACTCTGTTTGAAGTTTGTATATCTGAAATTTCATATGTACTTACAGCACCTACCATGGAGTGCTATATATTTACTTCATACCAATTATTTTAAACATATTCAGGTGAGCGATACAGGCCCTCTGGGCCTCTTGTTTAATTAATTTCTTTCAAATTTTGTACGGTAATGCTAGAAGCAATAATGTTCAACATATATTACTGGTTTTTCTGTTGAGTTTCAACTTTCCGCATTTTGACATATCTGTTTACGCGATAACTCAAGCCAAAACACTTTTCTTACTAAAAGTGCTGAGCAGGCAACACATCCACTCCCATGGAATTCTTGTTTTCCTGACTAATAGGGTGTTATAACCTTGAATGTATGGGGTTAGATTTTGGAAGTGTGAACATGTATCATTTGGGCATGTGTATAGTTAATTTACCAACAATTAATGGTTGTTGACCAATGAAAGTCATCTGATATAACACAAGGTACTTAAAATCATGAACATTTTTACCTTTCAGAACTAGTTCCTAGCTACACAGAATGACATGACATTCCGAGTATCCAGGAAGGTTTACCAAAAACTGCAGGGATGGATCTCGAAGGTCTATCCACAAATCAGAGTGACCCAGACTCTTGGTTGACTGTAGTCAATGATACAGGTATTGACCCCTTCTTATCAAGCATTTAAATAACCCAAAGTTTTTCATTGAATTTCATTATGCCATGCATGTCGTTATAAAATCACTTCATTCTCGACTTGGGGTAAACTAATAAATTTATTTGTCACATCTAACTGATGTATTGCAGTCATTCCAAATCAGAGATCTCTTGCCACCCCCAAGTGTTTACTTTTATTTTTTTGTGAGTCAAGTGAGAAAAGTTGATAAGCTTGCAGGAAGTATAATGGTACAATTTGAGGGCTTTTTAATCAAATATACTACAACTGTGTCTTTAAATCGGTAGAATAATATAAAGTGGGGTTAGATATGTCACTATTGTATTAGCTGTTGTGAACTTGATGTATAATACTGGCTGTGCAGGTTACTGTAAAACTCAATACCCCCCCCCCCTTTTTTTTACAGCAAATATCGATCTTAATTTATCAGTCCAATCTGTACTGAGTTCAGTGACCATAGACAAGGTTCAAAATGGTATGTAAAACTATTCTGTGGGGACAGTCCTGGATTTAAGCCATGGACTTCAGTCTGTTATAACGTCGCTGAAACAGACTGATCTACTTTGTGAACTGAAGTGTACTAGTCCAAATGTACGTGCTATACAGTTATATCCAAACAAAGGTTAACTTAAGGGGAGGTTACTGTATATAGGAAAAACAGCAGTGCAATGGGACAGGACTCCTTAAGGGGAGGTTACTACATGTGTATAGAAAAAACAGCAGTGCAATGGGACAGGACTCCTTAAGGGGAGGTAACTACATGTGTATAGGAAAAACAGCAGTGCAGTGGGACAGGGATCCTTAAGTAAGTGTATTGTGGGGAGAAGAAAATGGTGGTCTCTTTAAGAGACAGGATTGCTTAGTAGGAATGCATGTTTCTCAGTTAGATTTGATTGTACATATAGGTACATTGGGGCATGAATTGGAGATTTAGTAAGGAAAAAGTAAAGGTTTTATGTACCCTGATCCCACAGTCAAGAACCTTGTAACGTTAATTATGTACGGTACATTTTATCTGTAAGACGGAGCTGCAATGGCCAGCCTATAGTCTATGTTACGTTGTCTTGACGCCAGTCTCTGTTACGTTGTGTTGATGCCAGCAGTCTCTGTTGGTGATGCATGTTGGTTGCTGAACCTTTGTACACATGGAGTGCACATGTAGTACTGTAGAAGACGAGAGACTAGACGTGTTTTGTTCGCTTTATTTCATGTCACAGAATATTTTCTGATTAATGTTTTTTAAATGTCTAAAACTGTGTAAGTATTATCATAATGTTTGCTTTTGTGAGAAAACATTTTAAATGTCATTACTACAAAAAGTTTTGTGTAAAGTTCATCATTAAAATAACATCCTGGACAGAAATTGTCTCGTTTGACTAACCAGTCTGTAGACAAGAGCAGGTGCTGAGTGTATATACATTCTTTACAGGATAAATGTCCAATAATGGTTTATACATCACATAAAACACAGATACTCTCTCATCACTGCATTTTGAACACGCTAGTTTGTCTAATAGCGATAATTGTGTGCAGTTTTATCACAAATTAGATTGTTATCCCATAATTTTGTAAAACGCTGTGAACACTGCCTTGATCACATTACGCGTAGGCTCCTGTCAGCCTATTCTCCTTTTTTTTTTAACTTGACTTTTAATTTCAGATGCCACATACTTACAGGCAATACATAACACTGTGTTAGGTGAATTCTTTGATGCTTGTCTATAAATAGCACCAATGGAGACAAGCATTTAGACAAGATGGTGCTCGATTACGTTGCCATGGTAACAATTAATGATGTTTCAAATTCAAGCTATTTAAACAAAATTTTCAATATCAAGAAAACTTTCACCAACCTGTTTAAGTCTGACCTATACGCCTGATTTTATCAAGCTATCATTGTAAACATTCGGGTGTTTTCTGAAGGCAAGTACATAGTAATGTGTTGTGTTCCCAAAAGATAAGTTTGTGTTCCCTAAATTAAAAAGGTATTCTGTTCCCTAAAAATTTGTTGATAACAGTGTTTTCCCTGAATTTGAATGGTATCAAATGCAATATATGTGTTACCTAAATGTTAATAGGTAACAGTGTATTGACCTTAAAAATAATCAATGTGTTCCCAAAATGATAAACGATATCAATGTGTACCCTAAAAATTAAATTGTAACAGTGTGTTCTCTTAATTTGAAAGGTATCAATATGTTCCTTATAAGCCTACACAGTATCAAATAGTAACCAAAGTTTAAAAACTGACATTGAAATCACATTTGCAGGTAGCATTTGACCAGCAATCAGTATAGATTATAAAAAATCTTTTTATAACCTTGAAATATAAATATATATCTTCGTAGAGACTTGTTCCATCTTTTGGAAGATAAAGATAAATAAAAAATCTAAAATGGCAGCTCTGAGAATTCCATCTACCTTAATTCAAACATAACAAGCCAGAAATGTCACCCAGAGCTCTATATTAAGGCCCGTGAGATCAGAAATGTCACCCAGAGCTCTATAAGGCCCATGAGATCAGAAACGGTATATGACAAAGCTGTCCCCTAATGACAGTCGCTGGTCACTCAGTCAATCTTCAGTTATTACGTGACATTGTGGGACATCCACGATTCTGCGTCGGCAGTCGGAACATAATTATGACCAGGTCAGACATCCACATGTGACATTTTGAAAGGGGTTTTTGGTTTGCATCTTTGGAAGGCAGAATGTGAAGTAATAGAACTAGGTCAGGAGTTGAGATTCTTTGTTCATAGACTAAATTGTCACATTATCAATGACAAAACCGTCACGTGGCTGGGGAGGGTTGGTAACATTATCACCAAGAAGACTTTGTCCATTATAAGACTTTATCACAATGTTTATACACACCTTAATAACAAGAATTTGAAAAGGCTGTATCATATAACATATTTAATTATTCAACAGATTTTTGTAACAGAACATGTCAGTATGTGCCGGTCAGGTACTTGATGTCAGTTAATAAAGCCTTGATGACACGAGAGAATTGTGTATGACCAGGATTGACAAACACGATCTTATTTTTGATGTTTTTTTCTTTGATCAAATTTCAATGATTTTTAGCAATTTCAATGATGAACGGTTATTACTGTGCTTTTAATCCTGTTTGCATGACCTAGGCGGATGCGACTTCCGAGTAATCATTACATTCATAATATGATAGCCCTTTAATAAAAAATAACGAAGTTTTCCGGTGTTTGTGATGATTTTAAAATATGTATCTGAATTGTAAGGTTGAAGACTTCCAAGTTTTCTGATTTTTGAGTTTTCCTGTTTAGAATAAACAATAGCAAGGATTTCTTGAGAGAATAAAAATGAAAATTGGAGAAATAAAACTACCTTTTTAAGGGTCCCAGAATAATCTGATATTGTTAAGTTACTGACGGACAAATCAATATTGATCAGTTCTTGCAATATAAACCAAAACCAAAATTGATTGTTTCTCCCAGCTGCAGAATACCAGGGGGAAACCAAATGATTGAATAATGCAGAATAAACCAACATTGATCAATTATTGCAGATTAATCCAATTATTGATTGCTTATTGCAGGATATACCTCAATTGATTTTTTGATATTGTAGAATTTGCAAATAAAATAATATTGATTTGCTGTTGCATTATAAACCAATTAAATCAGTTTAATTGCTGATTTACTTTTGTCTTCTTTGATTGGTTAAATAATACCAGTGACTGATTGGTCAATATGTGATTGTCAAGTTGGCCTCATGCCTTGGTGTAAATCTGGCAAATATGGATTATGTAGGCGTGAAGATGGTGCTGACTGAAGCGTATCTTGTGTCTTACTAATGGTTTCCTAAGTTAATTAACAATCAGGGTTTTTACTCTGTGTAATTAGGAACTTACTTTACAAAACTAGCTGTACATGTGTGGTAAATAACTGTCATTATTGAGTAGAATTGGTCAAGTCCAGATGTGATTTTTGTTACCATGGAAACAAATATTAACTGACTGACAACCGCAGAAATAAAGGGTTATTTTCTCGTCATGTTTGAGATTCATGGATTCAGAGACTTAAATTGCTATTAAATTGATAAGGTCCTGGTCAAATGAAAAGTCTATGATAAGATGGATAAAAATTTGGCATCCACGATCAGAACAATCAAAAAATTGAACAGTTCAAGATTGAAGCCTTATCGCATTATACTTTTGAATGTTTGTTACATTTTAAGACAATGGGATGATTTTAAGAAGCGATTTAATGGCTCACATTTCTAAGAATCCTTTAAGAATGGCAAAACCTTTTATCAAATGTTATATTTTTCTTGAAATTTTTATCTTGAATACTAATTGTTCAAAAAGGCATCTAGTAAGACTCCAGTAAGAATCATCCCTTAGAAAATGGAAATTGTGTGAACAATCAATTTTGGGCAAAATATATATATAAAGTAATTGACAGTTAACCTATATTTCAAATTTATATTGTTTATAACTATCCAAGATGTCGGATCTCTCACAAATATTTTCCTAGGAAAAGAGTAAGATTAGAGTGTAAATTTATTACAGATATAATGATGAGCGTTTAATCCAGTGTTTCTTGGGTGATATACTTCAGCAAAATAAAATTGCAACAATTGCAACAGAGATATTAGAAAATAGTTTGTATGCATGACTGTGAAAAACATTTTTTTTTCTTTTGGTGAGTGAAGCTTATTTCTATTATCTACCAAAAATGCTTTTTTTTTTTTTTTTTTTT